GCCCCTCCTCTTCTTTCTTTCTCGGCCTACTCAACCCCCGAATGTAGCTGGTTCCGAAAGAAATTATAGTTATTTACCGGCGGCCCCTTCGGATAGTCGGCTATTTCGCGGTAGTTGTTCTCTCTCTTGTAGGCATAACTCGACTTGGGAACCGAGAGACAACTTCTTTGCTCACCACTAAAGAAGGGATAAGAATCGCGACGCGAGGAAGGGCCGATCGGAGCGAGAGGAAGATGAATAAAGAGACATCGAAGGGAAAAGAGGAGTGGACTCTGTGGTGAGGGGTGGGCTCTTATAAAGGACTAACATCGAGGACCATCTCCGATTCTACGGAGAATGAAATTTCTCTTTATTTTTCTTCTTATTTTTCTTCTTCTTCTTCTACTTCTTCTACTTCTATCTTCTACCTTCTACTTCTTCTCGTATTCGATAAAAAAAAAATTTTCCAACGCGATAGATATCGTAGTGTCGCCGTTCCTATCTACTTGGCACCATCTCGAGGAATCTCGTTCTTTGTAAACTCCTCTTGACATTATCTAAAGACTTTTTAAGTCTCGTAGATGCATCGGCTGATGTTTTTTAATCTCATTCGAAGATCTAGAAATGTTGTGCAATTGTAGAAGAATAAAAGAAAAAATATACATAGGTAGATATTCTAGATAGATATATGCATATATATTCGGTCCTATGTATGTATACATATATGCACGAGAGAGAGAGAGAGAGAGAGAGAGGGAGCAGGGAGAGAGAGCAAAAAGATTAAGTAAGCGATCGAGCCGAGAGATTCTCCTCTCCTTCTGTTTCCGCTAGTAAAAGAAAAGAATAAGGTAAGGTGAGGCAAGGTATGGTAAGGAAGGTTGGGAGGTGGTGTAAGCGGTCGAAGAAATCGCAGTCTTTTCGGTAGGATTCACGAAGCATGCATGACGGAAATGCAACTCTGCGGTCGTGCCGCGATGGCACGAAACGTGACGAAAGAGAAAAAGGATCTTTCGAACGCGGAGGGGAGTAGTAGAAGAAGAAGAAGACGAAGATAAAGAAGAAGAAGAAGAAGAAGATAAAGAAGAAGAAGAAGAAGAAGAAGAAGAAGAAGAAGAAGAAGAAGAAGAAGAAGAAGATAAAGAAGAAGAAGAAAGAGAAGGCAAAGAAGAAGAGGTAGTAGTAGTAGTAGTAAGGGAGAAAAAGAATGAGGAGACAGAAACGGGGGGAACGTAGAAGAGAAAAGGGGGACGAAAGAAATCTGGCTGTGTAGGAAAGAGGACCGAGGGCTATCGGAGGGGAGACGCGAGAGAGTTGGGCCGAGCAATGGGCCGAAACAAGAAGCTTGGGACCGAGCTAGGTGCAGCTTTCTCTACCTTTCCCTCCTTCTTCCCTCTCTCTCTCTTTCTTTCTCCCTCTCTTTATCTCTCTCTCTTTCTCTTTTTTTTCTCCCTCTCTTTATCTCTTTCTCTCTCTTTCTTTCTGCTCGCGCGAGCGTGATTATGGTCCTGTCATATTTTACTGGTTCGCCGGTGCACGATGCCACCGGCTCCGATAAAATTGCTACGTCTTGTACTCCACGAGTATACGAAATAAATGCGCTCGAGCTAAACTCCGGCTTGCTCTCACTTCTTCTCTCTCTCTCTCTCTCTCTCTCTCTCTCTCTTTCTCTCTCTCGTTCTATTTATCTTTCTATCTTTATTTCTCGCGCAATATCGCCCACTCTCATAATTGCCACAAATTTAAATTTCTCGCAAACGAGAGAAACGAGGATACGAAGGAGGATCAAGAACGATGAAAGAAGAGAAGAAGAATTCGTTCTATTCTATAAAATAAATATTTTTGAATGTTTCTTTTTTTCTCCTCTTTATCTTGATGAACGACAGCGATGTGATGATAGTGACAATGGCGATGGAGATGACGATAATAGTAGATAAGCGACAACTGCGAAATTAGGTTCTCGTTAGCGCAAAAGAATGCATTGGGCAAGTTATCATCAGCCGACGTCGCTACGAAATGATAAGAGTGCCCGTTTATTTGCCGGTACTTGTATTTACAGACTATGATAGAGATTAACTTATCGTTTCGTTAGAAGTCACAAGGAGCCCACTGTTCCGTTCGCCAGCACTATGTCAATATTATTTCAACGAGTACTATGTTACGAATGACGTTTCGAATTGCAGCGGATGCTGTCGATCTTGAAGACATAAAATACAAACGATGATATAAAAATATGTATTGCGAACCAGAAAATATAGCTGATAGAGAATAGAATATGATTTTCAATAAAAAGGTTTCGCACAAAGCAAATTATCGAATTTAAATTACTCATTACTTTCTAGCATATTCCTTTGATATTTATTATTTCATGACCCTCCTACTCTTCTCTTCCCTCCTAGCCCTCTCAGAACAATAAAAAGAAATACATATGTAGCAAAAGCCAGTTCTTCCGTTGCGACACTTAAATTATTAATGCCAGTTTCTCGGGTTTGCTCATGTAACATTTATGCGTGCGACTCTCGAAACGACCAGTCGAGCGTGATACGTTGATTCGTTTTAAGCGAATTCACTTGACCCGCGTTGTAAACCGCGGCGGAAATAAATATAGTAGTGGATGTAGCCCATCGGGTATTATAACCATCGTGGTTTAGGAAATTCTTTCCTTCTACGTTTATACACCGTTAATTATTTAGAAATAAAAATGTTTATTATTATATTTACGTGCCGTTTGGATCGGTCTGTCGTTTGACAATGATCGAATAAATGGACAATTTTTTGCATTTTTTCTTCTTTCTTTTTTGGTCCTTCTTTGTTTGTTTCTTTTTCTTTTTTATTTTATTTTTGGCAAGAAGCTTTTAAAATCTCTTTCTAATCCCAGAGTTAAGTTCTCGTACGTTTTGCGATAAGAAATATGACGATAAGACGATCTCGTTTTAGACTTCATTCAGCGTCAAATCGATGAGAATTTGCGAAAAAGTGAGGACGTTCGTCGAACAAAAGCTGTTGAGAATATCGTAACGGGCCATCTTGATCTTCGTTCCGCTGACCTCTCGGATAGCTCGCGGGTATTATATGAGAAACGTTCGCATAATATCACCTCGGTATACCACAACGTGTCTTGTATTAACGGTAAATACTATAGCGGGTACTGGATTACGGCACAGCTCAGGGGAAACCTAAGTTTTTAAATTGGACTGACTGGCCGATTCAGAAATATCAAAAAATGGTATGCGGAAGATTCTACGCGTGATTTTGAATGGTCATAAAATAAAAGGAAGAATTTTATAAAATAAATTCATTTTCAAATTCAAATTTATTCGAATAATATGATTCTTTATCTTTCGTGTTGATATTTCCTAGCTTTATTATTCTTCCTTTTTCTTTTTCTCGATCATTATGATAAATGATATAAAATCTTTTCGTATATGTGGGGAAAAAGAAATAATGAAATTTTTTAATGTTCAAGTAAAAATAAATATATGAAAAGTCTATTAATGATTAATAATTAATAAATTATGTAGCTTATATCTCATTTATCAGTTCGGGTTATACATTATATATATATATAATACATACATGTATACAAAGTCTGTAAAATCTAAATTTCACTATAATAATCATTCGACGAAACTTCCGGCGGTTAGGAAGCCTCTCGATGCGTCTGGCTAGTGTCTGGATCGCGTCTGCTTTACGTCGAGAACGTGTTTGTACGTAGTCTAGTCCTTGGTAATGAATTTCGTTGTTAGAAGGCGAGACAGTGGCCCTGAGAGTCGCCACGGAAGTGATAGATCGTCCTTCGACGGATTTACGAGCGAAACTACGGTCTAACAATAAAGAGAGACGAATAAACGCGGTCAAGTTCGATCTGGGTTCTCGTCCTTCTAACATTCATAGTAACACAAATACTTTTTGTTAGCTAATATTAGGAATTACGTTGAATCGACCATGAATAACAAGAGGTTTCTCGTTCTTCAAAGACTTCTTGTTTCTAATAGAAACGTTGGTACAGTTGTGTTTGGATGAAAAGATTAGAAGAACGTGTATGCCGTATAATGCTACGTATATAAATATGTGTATATATGTATATGTACTTACGTATGCGTATATGCATGTGTACATGCATGTGTGTATGTACGTATGTGTGTATGTGTATATGTTGCCTCGTAACGTGTCTCGCCAGACTGGCACAGTCCCCCCATTTAAACGAAGCGTTAGAAAGCGAAGCGAGTTACGCTTGGGTCTGACCGTGAACGTGCGTTAGAAGGAGAAAACGAGGACGTACGATGGTAGGGGATAGGCACGGCGTGCATTGGAGAAGTCGGCCAAGTTCAACGGAAAGGCGAACCTTCATGCACGAGTGCGCTTACGCATGATGCACTCCGTGCATCATCCTTTTTTCCTTCCCTTTGTGATTTCATTCCATACGATCGAAAAAATGTTGATGCCTTTATTAATGGCGAACGAACGAACGAACGAAATATCGACCCCGATCGTTTCTTTTTTTTCAGTTCCGAAACGAGGAATTTGAAGAGGAAAGAAATGGTTTCATGACGTGGCAAATTATAGTTATGGTAAATAGTTCCGGTTAATTTTAAAAATGAGTAGGAATAAATTTGAATTTAATCCATTGTCTCCTAAATTTAATTATAATTTATCCTAAATATCGTGGATCATAGAAGGCACGCATCAACGATCGACATTGACGATTGATCCTATTCGAAATATGTTAATCAAAATAAAATAAATGATTATCTAATTCGTCGATAATAATAATAATAATAATAATAATAATAATAATAATAATAATAATAATAATAATAATAATAATAATAATAATAATAATAATAATAATAATAATAATAATAATAATAATTATCTAATTCGTCGATAATAATAATAATAATAATAATAATAATAATAATAATAATAATAATAATAATAATAATAATAATAATAATAATAATAATAATAACAGTAATAATAATAATAATATTAAAAATATTGGATATAAAGGAACGTTTTGATATTTCCCCGTTATTTCTCATTCCTCAAATTCTTGCCGATCTTTTTTTAATTTCTATTTGACGAAAAGGTCATGATGAATTTTTGTACGTTCTCTTCTCTCCCGTCGAACGAGACGATAACGTAACCGCAAAGCGATAAAGCTTGGCGCATATACATATGGATCGGTACGACGAACGTGTCAGCGTTTCGTCTAGGAAGGGGCTCTCACTGCGAGTGGAACGAGACATCCTGTTTACTTTAATCCGTCTAGACGTTGCGCTCGTAGCGTAATTGCTGCATTTATATATGCATCTGGTCGAAGTGCGTTTCGGCGAATTCGTCGAAGAATCGTTATAGCGTGAAACTAGCTATAGCAACAATGCAAGGCTTGTCGAGTAGTTTTCAAAAGGAAAGAAAAAAAAAGAAAAGAAATTTATCCCCCGATATGAGAGTATAATATGTACATACATGCGTATTTAAAAAAAGGGAAAATAATTCTAACGCGATTACGTGACTTTCGATAATTCTCTTGATTGAATGCACGTGCTTTCCTATTTTCATCGAATGAATTAAAGTCGAAGAAATAGAAAAGAATTTATTTCTAATTTTTCTTTTCTCCTTTTATTTTCTTTTTTTCATAATTTACGATATTACGATAAAAGTAAGTTCAGAATGACATCGTCTATGAGTTAAGTAATTTAATTTTGTTCATTTCTTTGAGCGTTATAAAAAAGAAGAAGATATAAACAACAAAGAAATTCGAAACGAAACAAAAGAAAACAAAATACAAAAAAAAAGAAAGAAAGAAAAAAAGAAATAAATAAAGAAACAAAGAAAGAAAGAAAGAAAGAAAAACAAAAACTCGTTTCGATAGATAGACTTCCGGTGGAGCGAGTCGACGCGACTCGTTTTTTCTTGGCGCGCCAAAATCGAAAGGACGTCGCGTTGCGCAATCCGTTTGGAATAATAAAAAGCCTCGAAGATTCAAACGCGTGTTGTAAGAGCGTTAGGAATGAAAAGTCAAGGTTGCTAGAATCTTCTTTCTCCTTCTCCTTCTTCTATCTTTCAGCGACGACTTCGTTGCCGTGCTTTGACCGTCTGTAACTCCTAACGGTCTCAAAGTATAATCCGAATTACGAAATAATGCTCGGACTCCTTTCTTCGTTCCTTTACTCTCTTTCTCTCTCTCTCTATCTCTTTCTTTCTTTTCTCTATCGCTATGAGCTCGTATACGTGCGAATGTTTAATCGTGCAAGTGTTGAGTGTACGAGCGCACACGCGCTTATGTCGTCGACCTTGGCTGCTCCGAACAAAAGATGTAGAAAAGGAGCGCGTCGTTAAAATGATTTTAATGCGTCGCCAACGTTTCTCCGTCGACGTACATAATTTGCAGGCGAATTAAGGCCTTCTGGCAACATCGACGACGAGACTCTTTCTAATAGCAGCCCGCTGCGTGAGCGCGCGCCTTTTATCGCGATACTTCTCGACGTTTATTACTTTGCTGGTATAGTATATATTCGTGTGTGTGTGTGTGTATGTGTGTATATATATGTATGTATGTATGTTTGAATAAAAAGCCAATGTGTTCTTCTTATAAATATATGAAAATGATAATCGGAATATATATCTCTTATGAAATTATAATACGTTGTAGATACAAACGTAAGTTAAAACAAAAAAAAAAAAAAGAAAAGAATTATGCATTCTACGAGTAATAAATAAATTATTTGTTGATAAAAATCGACAGATAAAGTTAGTCCTCTTCGATCGAGCAACCAAGGTCGTTTATTCTTTCCCGCTTTCTCTCTCCCTCTTTCTCCCTCCTCCTCCTCCTCTCTCTCTCTCTCTTTCCGGCGTGCCAACCGTCTGGAAGATCTAACGGTGTCTAGTCCTAGACGAAGAATGTCCTTCCACCGTCTGTTACCTGCTAACAAAAGACAAAAACGACTTGATCAGAGGGGTACGCCTCGAGTAGAGGCAATGAAAGAAACCGTATTAGTAATGTCTAGCTCTGTCTGTCCACAGACAAGGACGCTTCATTTATTTTTCGTCTCATTTATCGCGATCAATTCGGAATCGATTAATTTAATGAGATAGGTACTATATATGTATATCGACATATAGATGATCGTACACGTATGTACATATTTTCGTACGAAGCGAAAGACGTTTACAAATGACGTCATTAATTCCAAGTCTTGGAAATTCTTTCTTTTTTTTTCTTTTTCCCTATTTTTTTCTTTTTTTTTTTTGCTCTTTTCTTTTGTCCTCAGAGAAAACTCGAACGATGTCGAAGGAGGAGAAGGATAAATTTTGTGCAAACACTCTCGCGACGAGAGATGTAAAAAAGCTCGAGATAGTATCTTTAACATCGTAATCGACATCTGCATTCGATCGCCACGCCCGGTGATCTTGCGATCGCGCTTTCTAAATACGCTCTCTCGGGCGTCGTTGCGTCGTCGCGTTCTCTAACGCGCGTGCGTTGCCTACGAGAATCGCGAGAGCTTGGGCTTCTCTCTCTCTCTCTCTCTCTCTTTCTCTCTCTTTTTCTCTCTCTCTCTCTCGTTCTTTCTATCGTAGTCCTCTCTACCGGTGACCTTCGTCGTGTCACTAACCTATGTTACCGTGCAGACGTCGTCTAACGCGCTATCGCGCCAGCCGAAACACGGACAAGGCGTCTCTTTATGTCCCAACGAGTCGACGAGTGCGCGAGTACAGAGTGAGAAGAGTAGTTTGAGGAGCCACTGTCGGTTCTCCTCTCTCCTCTCTTCTCCTCTTTCATTTCCAACGCACCACCTCCAACACCTCCCCTTTCACCCTTCTTCCTGGCCTTCATGCTCAGCTAATGATATTCGAGACACACTAGAGACAGAAAGAAGGAAGGAGACAGAGAAAGAGATAGATAGAGAAAGAGAGAGAGAGAGAGAGAGAGAGAGAGAGAGAGAGAGAGAGAGAAAGACAGCTGGCCAGACTTCCGTCTGTGATAGGAACCTTGAACTAGCGTCGACGACAACGCGCCGGAGCTGCCTACGTGTTCGCCATGAGTGGGCGAGAAAACTATTTGTCCTCAAAGTCGGCAGATCCTCTACTTTGTTCGCCAAAATGGAAGTGCTCCGATGACCTCTCTCTCACTCTTTCTCTCTCTTCTTTTTTTCTTTCTCTCTTTCTCTTTTTCTTGCCAATTCTGCGTCATCACAGAAAAAGATAAACGAAACGTACGCGTTTTGGCAAAGAAGAAGAAGACCTCTTCGATCTTGAATAGATTGTATGTTCTTGAAAGACGATCCATTGTTTTCGAGATTAAACGTTGACCGTCCACGGACCGTCCACGTTGAGAAAAAGATCGAGAAGGATCCGATACAAAGGGAGGAAAAATGGTCTCGTCGTTTCGATAAGTCTCTCTCACTGTCTTTCTCTCTCTCTCTCTCTCTCTCTCTCTCTCTCTCTCTCTCTCTCTCTGTCTGTCTTTCTCAAACGAATGAACAAACGAACGGCAGGTAGCGCAGAACTGGCTCGGCTGTTATTCTTTTAGCATATATGTATAACGTCGGTATATACATATATATGTATATATAAGTATCTAAGTAGGTACATACATAAATACATACATACATACATACATACATGCATGCATGCATACTGGAACGTCGTCCGTTCTGTGGTTTCTTCTAACCGGCGAACGAGGCTCTCGCGAAACGAACATTCACCGAGGTCTACGACCACTGGTCAATGACGAGTATTAGACTCAAGGCCGAATTAGAGCGAGCAAATATCTGCCGAGCGTTCGGCGACGTCGTGGCATGACCGTCTGCAACCTCTCGTTGTAATCTCCGAATGACGATGATGTGGATGACGAGAGAGAAAGAGAGAGAGAGAGAGAAAGAGAGACTTCACCGCGTATCTATACGACCTTCTAACGCTCATTATTATCTATCGAAAAAATGGTCGATCGTCTACTAACCAATAACTTATTATCATTCATTGGGACGATGATTGTCTCCAACTCTGGTAATGTAAATATTTACATACATTCATACATCGAGTTTATCTCTTTCGAACGTTCTCTATTGCGACTTTGTAATCGAATTCGAGATATTACGATACGTATTTTCATAGAAACCCGTTAACACACACAGATAAAGGTTAAGAAAATATTTACATTTCTTAGAAATATCTTTACCATTATCTTAGGAATCGTTTGTTCGTTCGTTTCGAATTGAAAATAATATTTTAAGTTCATTTGATTTTATCTTATCCTTTGATACATTTCAATTTCGTTTGAGCAGAATTTGAGCTCGCAAAATATTGCACACCTAAGACCGGCCCCGGGCATCGTCTTGGAAGTTTCGAACCGTCGACGCGAACCAAAGGTGAAAGGCCTGGAATATGGGACACCGGCAAAACTCGTCTACGTGGTATCCTTTTCTCGTTGGCCGTAGTACGCGTTCTCGTGATGCTCGCTGAGGGGGAGGATGATCGGGGGAGAGAGGGGGTGTTGGCTGGAGGGATTGGAAGGATGGGATGAGTTCTCGCAAACGAGAAGATACGAGAGGAACGGACCTTAGTCGATCCTTTTACGGAATGGAACGAAACGATCTCTTTCTTTCTTTCTCTCTCTCTCTCTCTCTTTCTCTCACTCTTTTCCTCTCTCTCTCTTTCCATTTCATTTTTTTTTCTTTCTTTTCAATCTATGTTTATACCGAGCGTTCATTAGAGTTTACGAAATAATTTAAATGTAAACGTGTAAATTACATTTCAATCTTATCGCACGTTCCATTTTTATATTACATATTTTTTTAATAATATCATGCATTAATTAGAATGATGTTACGTGAAACAGGACTAACCTTTGAATTTGGCACGTACCGTTAGCGATTGTGACAATCGATGCACGTCGTGTAACGTTGTTGTTTAGACGTGACACGTTACTGTTTCAATTCACTCTACATCTAAGCTTGCCGATTATTATTTGCGAATTTTGACTCGTACATTTCGACCGACTTAACGTCGAGAACTCGCGGATAAGAGAACACGTCCATCCGGTTTATTTCCACTTCTCTCATGGTACTTGAGATACCGTAGATGGATAAGGCTATTCGTGAAATCTAATTAAAAGCTACAGGAAGAGCCCTTTGCTTTTGATATTTCCATAGTACCTCGCGTGTTCACGAAACCTTTTGAACCTTCTTTACTTAGTAGTTGACTGTGACGGGAAACTTTTGATCGTTTATCAGTTTTTCATTTCATTCGATATGTGAACTCGACTTACCACCATCCTTTATTCGAAGCGTATCCTCCTCGATACGCGTAAGCTCAGACTCTATCTGATACTGACATTAATTTAGCAGAGTGTAACAAATGAGTATAATACGACGATCAAAATTCACTCTACGATTTTAATATCTCTTTGCATTTTATGTTGTATATTATTATGTTGTATATTATTAACATTTATATGTTAATCATTCGTCATACAATACATTCCTTTATGTGCACTTAGTTAGCTATGTCGAAAGTAAAAGTAAAATGGAGAGTGAGACAGAGAGAGAGAGAGAGAGAGAGAGAGAGAGAGAGAGAGAGAGAGAGAGAGAGAGAGAGAGAGAGAGCCAAAGGAAGATAGAATGGAAGAAACATTTTGGAATATTTATGAACGAAATAATAATTCGAGTGGGAAGATCCAAGGTTGATTTTTCTATCGAACATCTCCGGATGGTAGGTACTACACCTCATCATCATCGTGACTAACTTGCGGCTCGGTGTGCCGATCTAACAGAAAAGGAACGGAGAGACGCACCATATAGGAGCAATGCCCCTTGGGTCAGGGTCAGTAGCCTTTGGCACGGGTCCACCACGGAGAGACGACCGTACGAAAACGTGTGTGCGCGCGCGCGCACACGCTCGTTCGCTTGTTCGCTCGTCGTTCGTTCGTTCGCTCGCCCATCTTCCGCTCTTTCTATTGGCTGTCCTCTTTTTCCCTTAATTTCATGAAATAGAACGAGACGAAATAATCCTTCGACTTTTGACTTCTTTCGACGAATTGTTATCGATCTTTGATCAATTTTTTTTTCTTTCTTTCTTTTTTTTCTTTTTATTCCCTTTTAATCGTTTCTTTTTCTTTTTTTTCGTCGTTTTCTTTTTCTTTTTTTATCGACCAAGCTCAAATTATGCGCTAGGAAATAATAAGGGTGTCACCGGAAGAATAAAACGAAACAGAAAGATAAAAAAGCAAGAAATAAATAAATAAAAAAAGAAAAGAAAAGAAAAGAAAAGAAAAGAAAAGAAAAGAAAAGAAAGGAAGAACAAGAACAGGAGGTATTTCCTTTCCGAAAGTCGCGATGGTAGACAAAGACAAGCGAATACCAACGACCTCGTTATGCTAAAACTATGTATGTTCCATCGTTCGTAGCAAGGAAAGGCGGTCGTATACAATTGTCCTTTTGACTTTTGCCGAATTTCTCTAGCTCGGCGAGATGTCAAAGGATAACGTTTAATAGTCTTTCTGCGTGCTCCCGGAAACGTTAAAATATACGTTCATGCGTATGCGCATTAGTCTGACTCGTTGAACGTTGAACCGAGCGTTGACAATTTAGTTATTAATAAGATTACATTGAAACATAAATAAAGCGTATTTATATAATTATATATAAAATATTATTCATTGATCTTGTCGATAATTGTAAAAGAGAAGACGCGGCAATGGGAAAATGAGATTTACGTTCTAACGTCCGTTGGAAACTAGCGTGACTGGTTGCCGTTCTTCGACCGTAGCAACCTTGACCTAAGCATGCCGTCTAATAAATATGCCCGTCTAACGTAAGTCTAGGCCGTGTCTAGCCAAGCGGCACGTGACTAACGCGTTTTTCATCGCTTCAGAGATCTCTCCTTGAGATTATCTTCGATCTTTCTTTTCTGTTCCTATTTATTTCGTTTTACGTACGTACATGAATACATGCATACGTATTCTTTCTAAAAATTTTTCAATGTCGAATATAAACGACACAATACAGTACACATTACGCGAACGCGAATAAAATATTTTAGAACGTATCGGTTCGTTAATAATCAAGAGGAAGAAAAAGCTTGTGCCCGCTTAGTAAAGTCAATGCTAAGTGATTTACTTTGAATTCAATGGCTCTTTAATGCGGCCACGTCGCGGATGCGTACGCGGTTCGTTCATTTCCATAACCTGATTTTGCAGAAGAAGCGTCAAACGATTCCGAGGCTAAATTTTGCCCCGTTGCACTCTATAACCATTTGTTTTAAACTATTACAATAATGGGGAAAAAGAAACAAAGGGTCTCGCGAACGTCTTATCATCCGCGTCACTATCTTGGATTCGAAGAAATGGAGATAAAAACAAAGAGAAAAGCAAAAAAGAAAAACAAAAAAAGGACAAGGAAAAGAAAAAGAAAAATAAGAAAAAGAAAAAGAAAATAGAAAGAAAAATTAAAAAAAAGAGAATACAAAAAATTGCAAGAACGTCGACATAAAATTCCATTCACGTTTTAGCAATTTCGTTTGAGTATCGTCGAACGTTCCTTTTTTCCCTTTTCTCCTAAGCTTCTTTCTACGGAAGAAATAAATCGCGTTCGCACAAGATCGTTTCTTCGGGATTGCGAGCGATAACATTGGAGAGTCCAGAGAGAAAGAGACAGAGAGATAGATAGACAGACAGACAGAAAGACAGACAAGCAGAAAGACAGACAGACAGAAAGAGAGGAAAAGAAAGGATAAGAAAGGTGCGTTGGCCAGAGTGGGCCCGGCACCGCCTCGTCATTTTCGGTTTCTCCATAATAATACCGATCGTTGGCCACGCGTCAGTCGCGGTGACACGTACGAAACCTCTCTGGCATTTCATTCCCTACGTTTCATATCCTTATCGCGCGTTGCACCCGTCGCGCCAGCTTTCTTGGGTGTCGTTGAACGATCGAGAGCGAAAGAAAAGCAAGGAGATTAACGAGAGAGAGAGAGAGAGAGAGAGAGGGAGAGAGAGAAGACGAGAGAAAGAGAGAGAACTTGTACATAAGACATTCGATTTTTGTTCCTCCGGGCAACTACAAGCACACGTTTCAAAGTAACTCCAAAAACGGGTACGACCATATATACCGATTATCGTGTCTCAATCCTTTCCAAAATAAGCTATCGTTACGCTATATTTTTTTAAATTAGCGAACAGAGGGATCAACTCACGGAAGAAGAAAGAAGAAAGAAAAAAGAAAAAAAAGAGGGGGAGGAAGAAAAAACAAGAAGTAGTTAGCGAAGAATGGGCCAGATAGTTTTGGCGTAACATCTGGCCCGTCGCCAAAACAACGTACGGCATGGCAGGTCACGGTATTCACCTTTCCTCGCACGAGGTAGCCTTAGAATTCGCCAAGTATTTGTCTCGAGGGCACGTTCTCTCGTACGGATTCTTTGCCACGTTCCCGTAACGAGTTGCTTTGAAAAGAACGATACGAATGACTACGTTTAGTTGCGCAAACAGAGCAATGCTTTTCTATGGTAAAAAGTAACAGGAAA